TCCAGCATGAAACTAAACACAGAGCAGGTAATCAATAAACACTTGTTAAATGTAATTGGATTTCAAGAAACATTTATGTAAAATAAAGTGAGATAATGAAAGGTGGATAAATTCAAGGCAAATACGTATTTTGGCAGTTGTGCTGTTCTTATGTCATATGTCTTGATTGATGGAATGGGAATAGAAAGATAAAGAATTAACTACTTCACCTCTACTAAAACTAGGAGAACTTCCTGGAGAAAGGAAAACAATAATAATAGTCGTATAGTGCCTTAAAGTTTACAAAGTGTACTCCACATTCATTATTTAGGATTTCAGAAGCTCTCAGAAGAGAAAATTTTCAGGAGACGAAGATTGAAAAAACATTTAAATTTGTGAAAAGGTACTATTAATTTGGGAATTGGAAAATCAGGTGTAGAAACTACATAAGGCTAACCAAGGAAAGCAAAAGTAAAGGCAAAGAAGAAACAGATACAATAAAAAAATAGTGTGGGTCCAGTGCAAGGCTTTAAATCAGGTGGTAAAGTTGATTTAATGCACAGTATGAAACCAAGACACTTAGACTACCAAAGATAAAGAGTACATAGTTAAAATAATGAAATATGTCATTAAAATAAATATTAAGAATGGACTTCACGTGAAAATGCATTGAAGGTGAAAAATGAATGGAATCTTTATGTATGTGTTTACTCATTTCTTCATCGGTAACCTCCATTTTTCCAGTGCCTTTAACAGGCTCTTAACCTAGTATGCAGCCAAAAATATTTGCGGAAGTTCTACTATGTGTCATACATAATGCTAGACATTTTAGGATATACAACAATTAGATAGGGTCCCTTCCTATAAAGAATCTGCATTCTAATTGAAAAGGTAAAACAAAAATACATATATATATGTTTAACTTTTCATATATATACATGTGTATACACACACACACACACACACACACACAAAGTTAAAAAGCAAAACAAGGCAGAAGGGGCCAAAAGAACAACATAATGAGAAAGAACTGCAATAGTCCAGAGAAAAAAGAGATAACTATGAAATGACCTGTTCAGGAAAGGCTTGTGAAAATAAGGGGCATTTGCAATGGGTCTTCAAGAATTGGGTGGAGTGGGTGGTGAGATTTTTAACAGAGCCAAGAAAAAGGCATTTAAAGCACAGATAGAATGGCTGAACAAAGGGGGTTGAGATAAAGGTGTTTTAAGGAAACAGTGAAAATCAAGCTGGGCTGTAATAAAAGTTATATGAAAACATAGGGTACAAAAGGTAAGCTGAGATTTAAAAAGGCTTTGAATGCCAAGTTGAGGAGTTTGAACATTTTCTGTAAGCAATCCAAAAATAATCAAGGTTTTCCAGCAAAAAAGTGACATGATGAATATGATATTTTAGAAATATTAAGCTGGCTTTTGATGTGCATAATAAATGGTGTATATCTTGATTAAAGATATGGTTATGGCAGTAAAGAGACAGGCATACAAATAAATCACACTGAATATACAACAAAGAGGCAGACTGCAGCAAAATAAACTTAAGAACAAAAGATTAACCCAAGATTTCTTTGTTAGGAGCAAGAAAAGCACAACATCACACAGATAGGCAAAGGGTAAGACTCCAAAATATGAAGAACAATCCTATTTTTTACTTTCTCCATCATCATCATGTTTATATGAAGTTCAAGTTGCCTACGCTAAGAGTGGAATAAGTAACTGTATTAAAGGACTAACTAGAGAAGTTCCCAAAGTTTATGTAAACAGTGACTTTACAAAGAGAAAATGCAGCTGCATTAATATGCTTTAAAAGTTTTTGGAAAATATAAGCCACATGACTTGTTAATTGCCCTATTAATTCAGGGGAAAACGACAACAAAAAAAATCACATCGAGGTAGCAATATGAATGAATTAACCAGAAAAGTGTATGTTACCCAAGCTGGAACTATCAGGTCATTTTAATGTTCGTATATAACAAAACTGAAGATTAGTCTCTTCTTTCATTACCACACAAAAAAAATAGCCACTCTATGTTCTCCACCTCCATTCCTTAAAGACAATTCTCCCTAAAAATTCTCCCTACATTCTCTTAATCCTCTCAAACAATTCCCTAATTCTATCTCCTTTCTTCTGTATAAACTTTGGTCTACTGCATCTTATTCACTCCTTAAACCCACTTTAAAATATTAAACATATATGTTATAAATTTCCTGAAGCTGCCTTTAATAAAAGTAGGAATACTTAGCCTTCATAGTGCTTTGCGGTTGACAAAATATTTTATACAGATACCTCTCAGAACCCTCACAGAAGCAATGCAGAGCAGGTATTATCACATCCATATATTAAAGAGAAGCAGTAAGCCCAGGGCCACATATTCATAAGTGATAGAGCCAGGCCTGAAATACAGGCTTTCTGAGTCCAAATTCCATATTCTACTCCCTATGTCACTCAGTTTCATAATGTACCAGTAGCTGTATCTAATTATTCAAAATGTATGTTATTATTCTATATTATGTTTAAGCCAATACATCCCTTTTTAAAAAAATAAGGTACTTATGCCAAAATGCCTATTACAGGGCCGTTTACTGAGAAGACCTAATTATTTTAAGAGGCTCATTATGATGACAGTTATCACTGGATTAAAAGTGACAACTGAAGTAGAACATTTGCAAAATTGCTGAGACTATAACAAAACCATTTTTGCCTTTAATTCTGCAATGCAACATGCAACAACAAAGACAATATGGGTGATTTAAGGATATGTGAGCATCAAAGGGCAGAAACAGGGCATTCCTACACTCTTTAACTGTGCTAAGGCCTCAAATACTGATATAGTTCAGAGCATCTTATTACCAAGGAGACATAAATCAAAAGAAGTTCAGCTAGGAGCAATAAAACAGATTAGTGTCAGGAAGGACTGACTTTAAAGAAAGTTTTAAAAGAATTAAATCCAGGTAGTCTAGATAAAAAACAGCTATGAGGAAACCTTTTTTTGAAGCTGACACAACAAAGAAATTATTTTGAAGGTAAATGTCTTAAAAAATGCAAAGAGGAGTAATCAAATATTTAGAGAATATAAAGGGAAAATTCAGGAAAAATTTACCGGCGAAAACCTGTGGGACAAAAAAACTCTCCCACAGGAGTGGTGAAAACTACACCCCTAGAGATATTTAATACTATGTTGGACAAAACGAGAAAAGGATTCCATATGGAATGATCCTGTACTGAACTCTGAAGTGGTGGAAGGATTGAAGATGACCTCTTAGATCTTTTCCATTTCTGGTTTTTTCCTAATTCTATGAAGTTTTATGGGGCACGGCCTTCTGCCAATATCCTTTCTCCCCATGATGCCCACTTTCTCCTTGTACAAAGGGAAACAAATTGTATCCTTCATTTTAAGCATATCTCCCACTCTCAATGAATAGGTAATATAATCCTAGGTACAAGTTTGGGAGAAAAAGGCTAATTCCTAAACTTATAATAGTTCTTTTTTTCCCCACAGTGGTTCCTGGGGCTCTTACAAGTTTTTTCACAAACTAAAGAGGAAGTAGTTCAAATGGACTCAAAGAAGAGCTGTTTCATCAGGAAAACCATTAATATTCTCCCTTCTTGTATCTGAACACAGAGCTGACAGTGACCCTGGGAGCTATAAAGCCCCAGGTCAAATTACCATCAGAGCTGCTGTTCAGGATTATCTTTTACCTTTCAACATTTTATGATGAGTGACAGCAAAATCTACTGGCAATCCACATTTTTATAGCAATGATATTTACCTTTGAAAAGATGTAGCCCTAAACACCTACACACTTTGCCAATGCTGTAAAAGAGTAAGTCTAATTCAGGATTCAAACTCAAGAAGCCTCAGCCTTGCCCTCTTTCTCCAGTCTGGCACTTTAAAAAAAAGGTTTCTCAGCCAACCTTGAAATAGATCCAAACTCTCCAGAATTCCCGTTCAGTGAAAGCCCCAGAAAATACAAGGGCTTTTCCTCATTTTGCTGATTTATAAGGACAAGATGTAACAAAATCCAGGGAGCTCTGAGAACATGTCCCTGAGCCCTTTAAAACTAAAACTATAGCTCATGTATGAGAAGGGACAACAGGGCAGAGATAGCTCTCCAGGAATGGACACTAATGCCTCTTCTACCCAATCTAAACAACCTCAGTGGGTAAAGACCCATCAATTGCCACCTTGCCCATTTGAAAGAAACTCTGTTCCTCTACCCACACAGAAAGTTCATAGTTATTAACACCAAACCCTCTAAACAATTTTCTTAAATACCATTTTCATTTTTCCCTAGTAAAAATGAGACTGTTCAAAGACTGTAAAAAGATTGGGCTCTCACACTGGAATAGGATCTGGCATTTTCAAAAGCCCTTCCAACACTTAACTCATCTGATCCTGGCAGGAAAGGCTGGCATTTATAATCCCATTTTGAAACTGAGAAAAAATAAAGTGCGACTCTGAGATTAGGCAGTCTAAAGAAGAACCCACTGTGAAAAGTTTCAAACCTTCCCAACAATGGACCAATCTAAAAAGTATTATTCCAGAAAACTTTAGAGTGGGATTCAGAAGAGGCTGAAGCCCTCCGAAGCCTCATCTCAGCAAAGCAAAGAATAAGAAAAACAAAAAGGCACTTCCTTTAATTTTAGAAAGGAAACGTGACCCTGCCCCTATATGAACCTGACTGGATTTTCTCAAGAAACCCACTGCACCTTCTCCCTATAGGACTAGCCAGTCATAAGTTTTGGCTACTAGTTCTTGGCCTCTGAGACTCAGCCGCCCAAGAAAGGCCAGCAGCCTGGACAAGGACAACCTGATGAGCCCCCTTTGTGTAATCACCTCAGGAATCCCACACTCCAGTTTCCCCTCGCCTACAGCTACCAGTTTTTCAGGTGAGCTTCAACCTGGCCCTCCTCCAAATCTGCACCCCACACGCACACATACCGAATGCTGGCTCCCACTCCCCAAACTTCCCCCACCCAACAAGAGTGGGGAGCAAGTTTCTCACCATCCTCATAGTTTTTGAGATAGTAATCCGGGCCGGGGCCCCCACGGCTTTTTGCCGGGTTCCTCAGATTCTGGAACTGCAGGAAGTCGGTCCTTTTGCCCCCGAAGCGCAGAAAGGCAGGTGAAAGTCCCCGGGCCAGGGTCACCAGACGCTTGGAGCTGCAGGGATAGAGGAGAAAGGAAAGGATCCGGAGGACAAGCGAGAGGACGTGGGGCACCAGCAAGGCCCTCTTCCCACTCTCTGTGGAGTTGTGCCTGGCGCCCCAGCCCGCCGAGTCTTGGACCTTGGGGCTCCGGGAGCTATGCCTCCCGCGCCCAAATGGTCGTGGCCCCCTCCCTCAGGCACCCCGACGATGCTCACCAAAGGTAGTATTTACAAAGAGTTAGAGATTGTGTTTGTTAACAGTGTGTGCATAAGGTGGGGGGTGCCCTTTTGCTGAGAACACGGGACTAAGGCGCAGCTGCGGGGCTTCTGCCCCTGACCGAAAAGCTCTCTTGTAGGAGACACGCAGCACACGGACACCGGGCTCCGACTTTTGCCAAACTTCTGGGCTGAAAGACGGGATCTGCCTCCTCTGCCCCAGGGGCATCGCAACCTCCATGGAGAAGCTGAAACCCGCCTTCTTTCTCTCGGAGCAGGCACCTGAGGTCAAGTTAATTTTTTTTAATGCCAAAGCTGATTTTCCTTTTCCACTACCTTATAACAACTGTATGCATCTCCCAAATCCCTGAGCAAGAGAAATTCCCGGGGTAAATCCTTCCCTTTCTGAGAACACTCCTCAGCCCCGCCTTGCACAGTAAAAGCAATGCCTCTTTGGCCCCTGAAATAATTCAGCCCGATCTCAGGAAAGGTAACGTTCTCCTCTCCACCTCCCGGGTTGGGCTCTATCTTTTTTCCTTCTCACTTGGGGCCATTTGGAAGCTCTGAGGAAAATGAAGTTTGCTGAAATGTGGAACCTGCGCGTAGTAGGAGACTCGAGGGGCATCAGAATACCATTTACACCTATTTAGGTTCAGGATTTCCATAAATAGGTTTTTCAAAAGCCAAACGCTGCTAATTCGGGAAGGGGTAGAGAAGGAGCAATCAGATGCTCTTAATGCTAAGGGCATCAGCTGTTAAGTTCGGGGTCTCTACGTTATTTTTAACGCTTTGCTGCTTCAGGTTCTGAATATCCAATCCAAATGGTACTAAAGAGTATCTTAAAGGCGGTGGATAGGAGAAAACAGAGAAAAAAATCAGAGACTCCAGTTTTAGAGTTTCTAACAAAAGTCGTGGCCGCCTGGAGAAGTCCAGTAGCCGGAAGGATCGCTTGGCCGAGGACTCCGGCACTGCGTTACCCGGCGGGCGCAATCGGCCGTCGTGTGGGCCCACGGCGGGCGAGGAGACATCCGAGCGAGTCCGGCCCAGCAGAAACGGCGTTTCCAACAACCTTCCAGCCGAAAACCTGCACAGCCAATGCAAATACGCCCCGCCAAGGCTTCTTCCCCGAAAAGCCACCTTCCACAATCTTTTCTGCGACAAGCATTTAGCGAGAACATGAAAGTTTGTTGTTATTGTTTTTAAGGTCATAAGCAAAAGAACCCCGAAGGAGTCCGCGTAGCTAGAGAAGCGCGATGCAAGTGGGGCGTGTAGTCGCCCCCCACCTCCCGGACGAGCTCACAGACGCGAGCTGCTGCACGGAAGAGCTTCCGAGGAGGAATCCGGCCGCGCAGAGCTGTTCCCGCCCTCCCAGCGGAGGCGCGGGCAGGAACCAAAACGGCCTCGGCGGCAGCCACAGCATCCACTCAGTCCTCCCGCAACGCTCGCTCCACGTGGAAGAAGCGCCCCACACAGCGCCTCCTGCTACCTGCCGCGTCCGCTGACCTGGCCGAGGCCAGGGAAACCTGGAGAGCTGAGGGGCAGGCGCACGCGAGAAGCAAACTCGAATTTCCCAGAGTGAAAGATACTCAGGAAAGGCGCGGCGGACGCGGCCTCAGAACAGAAAAGTGAGACCGAGAGCTCTCGGAGCTCTTCGAGGGAGCCCACAGCTGAGGCTCCAATTTGGAGGGAAAATTTTTTAACTCAACACTTGGATTCGACATTGTAGACTTTTTTTTTTTTTTTTTTTACACTGCAATCTCTGTCCCTGTTGGGAAGGGATCGTGGTTGCCTTAACTGCTGAACAGTAACAACTGGGGAGAGGGTGAGCCCAATTAGAGTCCAAGCCCTAGAGTAATGCAGGGTCCATGATCACAAAACTCCCGGCTTCCTAATCCACCAGTGCTGGATTCAGATCTCCGAAATATCCCCGGGGTACTTCTAGGACACTTTCTGCTCTTATATACGCTATGACCCGAGAGAGGAATTTTTTTTTCTTTAAAGAAAAACTAAACTATGCAGTTATCGCAGGAGATTTAAGGAGTAGGGACTGGGGGGACCATTCGGTCTATAAAAAGTATCTTTAAAAGTCCTGAAGTCTGGAAAGGACAGCGGAGGATATAAAATTAAAAATCCGAACCAACTTGCCCACCGCTCAAGCCTCTGCTTAGATTCATTTTCTGTCTGGGAGTGGGAGAGAACTGACGAAACAATCTTTCCGTGGAAAATTCCACTTTCGTGCGATCCCGGCTTAAACACAGACACACGCAGATAGGCAGGCACACACACACACACACACACTCTCTCTCTCTCTCTCTCTCTCTCTCTCTCTCTTCTTTCTTTGTTGTTCAAGACCTTTTTCTTCGCTTTTGTAACTGCCCTGAACCTCTTCTTTCTTTTCGGAAGTAGACGGGGAGGCTAATTGTGGATATATGTAAGCACAACATTTTTTCAGTCATAACTGGTAAGTTTCTGAAATGCCTTCTGCATTGCAAACATGTGCATCTTAATAGAAAACACTGCTTTCCTCAATCACCAGTTACAGCCTCACAGCAAATATTCCAGGAGGAGGAAAACCTTTCTTCTCTTTGAGATCCGCTTGGCTTATTTTCTTCTTCTTCCCCCTTTGGAATGGGGGGATAGGAAGGGGTGGGGGGTTGCTACTTTAAAAAAAAATGATCCATTGAAGCCCCTGCCTTACCTTAAGAAATCCAGCCAGCCATCATGAATGATGGACGGATCCAGCTGCAGAGAGAGGAAGTTCTCATTGACTGTCCTGACTGGGTTCTTGGTGCTCACATCAAGTAGAATCAGGGTCTTTTCCTTCAAACCTGGAGCTCTGTCTACAGGCAAGGGTCTCCTGTCTCCAGCTTGGGAGGAAAGGGAGAGATGGAGCAACAGAGCCAAGATGAGAGCCACCGGGGCTAGGCACGCGGGGGGGCGGGAGTTGCTGGAGGGCATGGCTTCAGGAAAGGCACAGAGCACCCTCATTAAATCCCTCTGATTTAAACCTCTCTTCCTACAGGGTCTCGCTGGTGACTAATTGTCCTTATCTAAAGTGTGTGTCTGTCTGCCTTTTTCCCCCCTTTTTTCCCTTCCTTTTTCCCCCCTCTCTCTCGTTTTTTTTTTTTTCTTCAGTGTTTTGGTGCTGATGGAGCGAACTCACGCCCCTAGCCAGCCTTCTCAGAGACTCGTGCCAAGAGTACTTCACCAGCACCGCCCCTTTAAGAGATTTCAACTGCAGACATTTTTTAACTTTTTAAAGGTAAGGTGAGGCGGGGCGGGGGAGGGGGGAGTAGGAGGAAGGGGTGGCGTCGTACCCTCCTGATTTAACCCTCTAGGGTCGGGAAGCGGACGGAGGGATCGAAACTGTACAGTTTTAACATTTGGGGTACCGGGCGGGACGTCTTGTTTTTACTTCCCTCCCGGCAAGGCTCTGGGGAGAGCAGTTCTAGCTGCGACCCCGACGCGAAAGCCTCTGCGCCAGTCCTGGGCGTGCTGGAGTAGAGTCTGCACCAGTCGCGCGCTTGTTTGTCCTGACAGCGTCAAGGAATGTCGTCTGCTCCAGGCCCTTCGCTTTGGGTTGAAGCAGCAAGAGCAAGGCTGGTTAAGTTGCAGAGGGATCCTGCGGTGGCGACTGTGATTCCTGCCAAAGCACCGAGGGCAGACGGAGACTCCATGGACGCAAGTATGGACCTCCGCGACGCGCTGGGCAGCAACACAGAAGCCGCCCTCTGACATGACAGGGCCCAGAAGGAATACACAGAATGACCAGGTCAAAGGGTTTATCCGCCCGAAGGGGCAAAGGGCCCAGGCTGCGCGTGGCTCCGTTCTGCCTGCAGCTGAGGCGAAAGTGTCTTGGGGGTTCAATACACGCTTAGGCCAAGTCAAAGCAACCCTGTCTGTGCTTGGCTAGTCTGCGCGGTGCTGCGCCCATCTGAGCCACTGCTTGCCCACTCTACTCCACTGCAGCAGCAGAGCTACCCCTCCAGACCCTCCTCTAGGTCACCCCGGGCTTATCACTCCCGAGGGGAACTGCGCCTTTCTGGTCCTGGAGAAGAACAGAGTGATGGGTTTTCAAACTCGGCCCGGAGCCGAAGCCAGAATCTGCCCGCACGTAGCTCCTGGATGCTCGAGAACAAGCCAGGAGCCACGCGATGCACCACCCGCCCTAGCTCATGGATCCCCCACCCACAGCACCTCTCAGATCGAGCCCTGGGTCCCCAATTAAAGCGTGGGAAAGAGGCCAGGCCTTGTTTGCTGCAGTCACATCATCGGGCTCCACTTTCAGCTTATTTCTGGAACAAAATGGGGCTTCTACTTGGCAGATAAAGAGAACTACTTTATGCAGTGTGGGTACACAGGAGCCTCACAGGGCCTCCTGATATCAAACAGGCAAAACTCTTAAAATGCACAGCTAAGGTTTCCCCCAAGGGTTCATGAGCCAAGGGCAGTATCACAGCCACAGAAAAACACTGAAATGGCAACCTGCCTCTCCTTCCCTCCCCTCAGATAGGATTAAGGAATCTGAAAAGGACTGGAGTAGATGACTTTCAAATGAAGTTCCCCAGGAGCTTCTACCAAACTAAGCAACCAGGAAATACAGAGCTTAGGTTGGGTTAGACTGGGAAGTGCCATGAAGACCTTCTAGAAGGTCTCCATAAAATGAGGCCAAAGGAGAAAGAAAACCCAAAGCGTATTATTTAATGATTTTTAAAACCAAGATGTTAATATACTGAAGAATTAGATGTGGGCTCTGGCCCTAACGCCTGCTTCCTTCAGTTTCTGAAAATTTCTAACATACCTAGATCCTCTAAAATATGTGTGCGTTTCTGTGTAGGGGTGTGTGGTATGGTGTGAGTTTCAACAGAAATTATTGTATTTTTTAAATGTGCACTGAGCACCGCCTAGAGATGGTGACAGCCTGGGGAACAAAGGTTTTTATTTATCTTTGTATCGCCAGAACCAGGCACTTAGTAGGCATTCAATAAATGCAAGTGAGCTAAATTAATGTTAAATCAAATCATGCTCAACACACTAAAATCATATACTGCTCTCAAGAAGAATGTGAAAATAAATACATACTTTTGTCACAGTAAACTGTTAGGTTTCTGTTCAGTAAGTTGTTTTCCCAGTTATTAGCATTTTCCTGGTTATCTCCTTCAGGAAATACTTATCTTGCAAATTCAGAAGCCATTAGTTCATTGCTTATATTCAAATTTAAAACTAATTACATATTTTTAACAAGGAGCCAGATTTTACAAGGGCCTAAACACCCTCTGGATTACAACTGAATGTATTTTCAGAAGCCACATTAATTGCGACCAGAGGAAGACCACCTGAATGAAATAAAGACGTCACTCACCCACTAGATGTCTATAATTAATGTGCCTTTCAAAAATACCTACTCTTGTGACTAAGAATGAACTTGGGTATAATGAGAATCTGCTTAATTATGAATTTTATCCACAGTTTTTGCTACTACCATAACCATTCAGTAATTTTTTGGTGGCCTAGTTAAGTTACTTTAACCAGTATTTAATGTTTTCACCAGAACCTGTATGTAGTATAAAAATCAAACCCAATAAAACAGTGCTTTTTTCCTAATTCCTGATGAAAACCATCTCTCTAGTCTGGCCACTGAAATTCTATAGCCATGTCCAGCCTCAGGACATCGAGGCAAATAGAGTGATTCAGTAACATTTAAGGAGTTCCAGATAGCCCTGGTTGACTCTGAGATGGCCTGATTGTTTTGTCCTTTAGTCTGATTTGGGTGTAGTTCTCCAATGGGCTACTCTTTACAAATAGGACCTCCCTCCCCATATCATGATTTTTGTCTTCCTCTCATCTAACCCTAAATTATATTCTGTAAGTAGCTTATTATTGTGTATACTAGATTGATGCTTCTATCCTATCTTCTGTGTGCCAGATGACAATAGTCTGTACCTCTGTTCTGCCTTAGGTTGTAATTTCCTAGGGGACAAGAATCAGGCCTCTGTATAAAATATGAATTATTGGGAACTAGATGCACTGAAGTCTCCTTGGAAATGTTCTGCCTGGTGTTACTGAATGGTCCTTATAGATAAATTCTTTTAATATCTAGGAGTCTTAAACTCCCAGATTTGTAAGAAATCTTGAAGATTAACTGGTCCAGTGATTTCTAGACAATAGGATTTCAAAATAAGTATCAGTGTGGAAGAACTGACATATATTTGCCAAATTTTTATTTTGCCTAGTAAGGACCTTAAATCTGTCAACTACTTATTACTGTTTTTTCCCAAAAGAAAAGAACGTTTTAACATCCAAAAAAAAAAAAGCTGAAATACGTCAAAATAAAAAGTGTATAAACTGAATAAATTTAGCTTCATGAAAAATCACTATAATGTTTTATCATTTCGTCTCAGAGCAGTGGAAATATGCCAGTGACCAACATGGGTACTAGGACTGGTGGCTGGGAATAATGATATATCCTGTATTTATGGCCAAATTCTACTTTGTAGCATACAGTGTACATACTTTTTAATGATGGTCATCTTGACTACAATAATTTCTTTCCACTCTCCTATGCTTTTTTCTCACTTTTAGCTTGTCACAAACTCATTGACTCCCTTTCCTTCTATTAAACATTCAAAGCCATGGTTATATCTATGCCCGCTTTCCCCTTCTGAGAGAACTATACCTAAATGTCTAATAGCTAGAAAAAAATTCCTTCCACCATAACTGGGACTGGGAAGCATGAAGCTATAGCAGCCAGTCCACTGTGTCATTGCTACCTGTGTATTTGTCCATGATGACTACTATTTATTGAGATCTTACAGTCCAGGCATGGTGCTCAGGACCATTATCTTACTGATCTTCTTGAATAACTCTGAGAGGTAGATATAATTCATTATTACCACCTAGTTTACATAAGAGAAAATGGAGACTCAGATTTGTTAAGTAACTTTCTCATGGTACACAGCTAATAAGTGGCAACAAGGATTGAAACCCAGGGCTGTCTGACTCCAAAGACTATGTCTGTGTTAACCACCACACTCTACTGTTAGGCTAAAATATTGCATTCCCTCTAACAACTTGTCAACTTGTTCCAACTTTTCATGGGAAAACCTTGGAATAGGAGTTGGAAGACCTGAGTTTAAGTCCTATCTTTGCAGATTCTAGCTTTGTTACCTTAGGTAATTTTTTTAACTGTTCTAAGTCATAGTTGCCTACTCTGTAAAATTAATATCTTAGAGTAAGAATCGAATACGGTTATGCATAGAGAAAGTGCTTTATAAATCCTAAAATATTATACAGTTGTGCTATTTGTTTCTTGTTATTTCTTATTCCTTCTCCCACACTTGCCACAAATATATTCCCTTAATTGACAACTGGAGCAAGAATTAAGCTATATATAAATAACAGTGACAAACTTGAAACAAAAGGTCAACTCTACCTAATATGTCAATAAATGCAGTAATAAAATGAGTATGTACCACGTATTTTAACCCTGCAGGCTCTTCTGCCTGTGTTTAGCATATGACAAAGGAAGAAAAGTTAAGTAGGTTTTATGTGCCTCCTTTTATGTGCCTGGGAGAGGGGAGACAGGAGTGGAAAAAGGACAGTACTGGGAAATGAGAAAGACTGTGTTCTCCATCCTGCTTAGAGGAGCAAGGGATAGCAACACTTTCTCCATATGGAAAGTTGAAGGGGAAGAGGATTTATAACTCTATGATTTTTCTACCTTATTATATAAGAAACTCAAGCTGGATGATTTTTGTTCCCATTGTTACCATCAAGCAGTAAACTTATGTGTGGAAGGTCATTACCCTAATAGATGTAGTTGACTCATTAATGAGTTCAGTTTGAAATCCCTTAACATTTTTGGAGGTAGGGATGACAGATATTTGAGAAACTGCTATAGGTAAAAAACTAAGTAACAGAAAAATACATTAAAATTATTCATGTCCTTAGTCACACTCATTGAAGAGATGTCCTGTCTGCCTTTTGTACATTCAGGTAAGTCCTGAAAAGCATCATGTGATACTGGAAATTGTACCAGCTCTGGAGTTCAAACAACTTTGA